TTCATTGCTGCATTCATTACAACTTCGATCGTTACAATGAAATAAAAAGATAGTCTTTTTATAAGACTGATACACAATGAAAACAAAATAAATGCAACTCCTTTCAAACAAACGCAAGAGCTTTTTGTCATCTCTTGCTTGCGTGGGTCTTTGGCCTGTGACGGGGACGTTAATATCCGTGGACCACCGGGGGCACTCAGATCTGCTCCGAGAAAATCGGGCAGAGCTTCGTCTATCCGCGAAGGGATATAGAAGCTTCGAAGCGTCTATCTCGGCTAAAACGAGATATCAGCTCTTCTTAGTATTAACGGCAAGGGGCTAATACTAAGGGAAAGGGGGAACGGGCGATGAAGGCTCTGATGTAGACCACTCCTCTCCTCGTTGAAGCGCACGGCCACTCTTCACTGCAGCAGGGCTTCGCCAAGGCTCTCCAAAAAATCCTCCCGGAAAAAACTTCGGTTATTCGTCAAAGCATCGGATAAACCGAAAATCGAAGGAGCCGAGAGTTGAAGCTAACCACAGGTCCCTTATGCCGACTGAAGGCCGGACCAATCATATCCAAAGCATTCCGGTCTCTTCTATAAAAGAAACGAGGCCGGAACGCTTTGGAGGGGGTATCTGTAGGCATCAAAAATTGCCGATAGGTCCCCACGAACAGCTCAGTGTTAGGGAATGACGATGAACGTCACTACCCGGTTCACAAGAGTCCAATTGACGTCGGTGAGCGCCTGAAGTGAATCGACGAGCTACGTGAGCCGACAGAGTTTCAGAACAACAGGGATACGGACTGACCGAGAACCCCGCAACCGCTGCAAAAGGAGCAACACCCGTCATGTCCTGATCATCACACTGATAATCCAACCATGGGGGCTAATAGAGCTCTTCGTCAGAATTCCAACGCATCCGAAATCAACTAAATCCGAGTTTGGACGACGAATCAACGGCAAACACACCCGGAAAGGCCTCGGACTGAACTGGGGCACCCGGGGGTGTCTTGGCAAGCTCGAAACACCCGAGGGGTGTCTTGGCAACACCAAGACACCCCAGGGGTGTCTCGGCCAGGCCGAGACACCCCAAGGGTGTCTCGGCCAAGCC